GCGATATTACGATGTATCTAATTAAATTGCTGTTGCTGCGCGGCTACGCGTTCAATCACTCGGCCGATTTTGAGACGGTACGAATGTTGAAGGAGAAACTATGTTACATCGGTTACAACATAGAAACGGAAGAGAAGTTGGCTCTTGAAACCACTGTATTAGTAGAATCCTATACCGTAAGTAAAATATTATTATTATGCGTATACTGTAATTTTATTAATATTCAAGTAATTTTTACTAAGATATACAAATCGTTGTGAATATTTTAGCTTCCTGACGGGCGTGTGATCGAAGTGGGCGGGGAGAGATTTGCGGAAGCGCTCTTTCAGCCTCATTTGATTAATGTCGAGGCGCAAGGAATAGCCGAGCTGGTATTTAGCATAATTCAAGCGGCTGATATCGATATCAGAAGCGAGCTATACAACCACATCGTTCTGAGCGACGGTAGTACAATGTATCCGGGACTTCCATCGAGGCTTGAATGAGAAATGTAGCAGGTTTATCTTCAAAGAGTATTAAAGAATGATATTACTGGCCTAGTTTACATCGATTTCTTGATACGCGTATTAAATAGTAAATAACTAGTAAATTAGTTTGATTATTGGCTGATCAGTTTAAATATACTATTTGATACGCGTATCAAGAGATCGGTGTAAACCAGGCCACTGAATTGAGTGTAAGTGTATCATAATTAATAGTACTAATATACATGTATACTGCAGATTCCTGTACTACGTATTAAATTTTTTTAATAGAAATTTAAAATAAAAATTAAAGACTCACCTCGGCGTAAGGACATGGTTTTCATGGATGGTGCTGTATTAGCGGAAATAACGAAAGACCGTGATTCCGTGTGGATAACGCGGGAGGAATACGAAGAGAAGGGTCTTAGTGTATTAAAAAGAAATTAGGCTCTTACGAATCATAAGAAAAGTCATAGTAATGTAGGCTACAAAATTTTTAATGAGCAATCGAATGTTTTTTATACCTAAAAAAAAAACGTTCTTGAGAGTTAGACTTGCGCCGCAATTTTATGATTTGTTATGTAATTGTAAAATGGTACTTTAAAAGAAGTACTTTAAAAGACTTACTAGCTGTTTGATACTCTAGTAAACTAATGTACTTTTTGATTAAACGTGATATAATTTCAAATAAGTACGACAAAAGATAAAGGATTTCGAAGAAGGTACAGTCGAGTATCATGGTTCCAGTAAAATATTGAATGTGAACATTAAATATTAATTTAATAAATTTGTCATATTTCGGATAGTTTTCGATTGAAATACTTTCGTCAATTAGGTATGAAAACGATGTTGCATTTAATGTGTATTTATAGCTCTCAGTAAATGGTCAACATATCGATTAAGTTTTATTGTTACTTACGTGATACCTGATGAAAAAACTTCATTCCTATTTCTTTGTATTTGTCATACCATTCTCTTAAAAAGATGTAAATACAATTGAAATTGTAAAAACAATTTCTTCGATGTATAAATTTCTATACATATATAGAAAATAGGCAAAAATAAAATATTTTTATTTGAAACAGATTTGTTAATTTATTATTAAGAATATATATTTTACATACATTTACTACATAAATTGCTTCAACATATAGTTTAAACTTTGGTAAAAGTTGATCACAATTGTACTAAAGTACATAAAAAACTAGTATTAAAGTTTAGAAAAGAAAAATTGTAATATCCTGGCTTATACGTCTATCAATGAAAATCTTTTACAATTATTAAGTAGAAGAAATCTAAAGTAAAAGAATATGTATTAAAATAAAACGTTTTCCATAATTTAGAGTAACTATAATACTTAAAATAAAACTTTTTCTATAATTTAGAGTGACTTTTAATACTTAAAATAAAACGCTTCTATTAATTCTTAATAGTTACATATGGAGGGGTAAAAACCATAACGCGTAAGTCAAGTTTTTTAAAGTCTCACCCACCAACGCCGGGTTTTCCTCTGATAATTTGCAACTTGAAGCATTATATTTTGATGCCACATTGACATAAAAAGAGTTACATAACTTAATTCTTCTAAATCCATTTTTGAGTATTCAAATTTTTTTAAATATTGATTTGTGTGTATAAATGTAATCTATACAATATATAAATTGTATTTAACGTGGCGCTGAGCACACATATCGCTGGCCGCGTTGAATATTTCCCGCCAATAAATTTAATTGGCTGAGAGAAACCGCAACGAGAGCGAATGGGACGTTAAGAGCGAGAGAGAGAGAGAGAAAGAGAGAGAAACTGAGACAGGCGGAAAGATAAGTCTTTGATGTCTAGCGGAGATATGATGATAATCATGATGAAGGCTTCCGCTTGCACGCTACAGCGGAATCCGCGCTTGCTACCTCTCCGGCCGCGCCGTGAGCCATCATGTGCGCGCGCGTGGTTTCAGGCCAGGTATATCTTGTGTTCTCGCAATCAATATAACGGACGTACCCCGAGATGTTAATATAGTCACGGGTGACCTTAACGCGTTACGCCCAAACGGGATTCCAGATACGCAATGGGTTCATGTGTGCACAGGTGCGCGAACGAGTTTCGCTATGGTCGGCGCGCATATCGCCTCAATGCAACGACACCAGTGCGAAATGAGTGCCAATTAACGTCAAAATCCTTCATACATAATATCAAAAAATTATACGCTCGGCAATATATGCACAACGATAACGTGCTATACAATTAGTAGATACAATGTATGCAATAGTGAAATTATGACAGATACGTGGTTTACGCATGAATGGCAAAATGACACGGTTTGAAACCGCGAATTGTCAACAATTCTCATGCCTTTTAACTCGTGGTATTTCCTGGACTTCTCGAACTTCCGATAATTTTTAGGAGAAATCTAAATCTGCATTTTAAGATTGATGTATAACGATAAAATAGAGCGCGATGTCATGTATAGAATGATCTTTTTTCTTGAAATTTGGGAGAAAAACTGTGAAAGCGGCAGCACTGGTCAACGTACATTTGTGTTTGACCAAGAAGACACTAGTATACTGCTTTGTTGATTGGTCCGACGTAGAACGTAGAACGCAAGAAATGAAAAATTTTCATTTTGCCATACGACCTTACTTAGATGCTTACAACCTACTTTATTTTTAATAGATTCTTACAGCTGCCTTTTATGGTCTTACAGCTCTACTGCTACGGCCATTGTAGACGAGTCTGAAATAAACTCTCTTACTTACAACCTCACTTACGACCTACTTCACCGGAAATATATCCTTACGATCATGCCTTACAACTGCTTACAAGCTTACAACCTTACTGCTACGGCCATTGTAGACGAGCCTTTACACTTATCCTTTTCTAGGTTGTAAAAAAATGTCACGCACTGCGACAATGCACGAGTGCACTCTCGTGACAAAAATGGGAAAGTGACACACCAGCCGCCATTTTTTACCGACGTGGACGTTTCTTAAATAAAAATGTTCCACATTTGGACTTTGCATCGCAATATCTTCGCTCGTAGGGCACGTAACGGAAAAATAAAGACTCTTATTTATAAATCAAACCCCAAGCTATCGATCAATCCTACTTAGAAATTAATCCGTTCACTCATTATTGAGATCTCAAAATCTCGGGTACTCGCAACTCGTGCGTTCGCGTAAAAGAGTCACGGTGCGTCTCGCTTCGCGCGTACTTGGCGCGAGACACTACCGTGTCTCTTGATACGGATTTGGGAAAAAAGGGGAAAAAGAAAGAGAGAGCGCACAGATGAGATACGTAATTTTTTTATTTAGAAAAAAATACACGCGCGTCGACGTGCGCTTACATTTCGCGCGTATGAATATATATATTTGTAGACGCGCGTCGCGACATTATTAGGATCGGAAACAGAGCGCGGTGATCTCGCAGTCGACGATGTTGTTAGGATCGAAGAATTCGCTCTTCAGTATCGCAGTCTGAGCCGAAGTTCCCACTTTGATCGCGTTGGCGGCTATCTCCCGATAGCGCGAAAACTTCGCGTTGACCTCCTCGGTCGCCGCGCTCAGCGCCGAGACGACGCGATCGACGCAAAATTGGAGATCGTACAGCGTGAGCAGGGTTTTGAGCACCATCGCCACGCGAGCCAAGTTGGGTAGCTTCATACGTAGGATCGGCATGTTGTTGATCACTCCGAATCGCAGCGTCATCCCTTCGATCGACATTGGCGAGGGGGGGGCGAGTTCCATCGGAGAAACTGTGTTCCATGCACGACAATATGTCGCGTTTGCGCTCAACCAGTCCTTTCCACATGTCGAGCGTCAGGGAGATCTCCCTGCCTTGTTTGTCTCCCAGGGCGATATCCACGTACGAAGGCGTGGTATGTACCACGGTGACTTAATCGTGATACCTATGGCTATGTACTTGTAGCCAGTCGTCGTCAGCAGATAACGCGTCGTCAGGACGCGCACCGTGGGTCGATCGAGAACATTTCGCACGCGTGCTTCGGTAACCGTTCGTTTCTGATTTTCTTTTCCGACGCGTCGTATTCGGCCGACGATGCGATACTGATGGTTTGGGGGGACATCGGTATAAGTAGGAAAGATCTTACTTATGTCGCGCGTGGCGTGATGTGGGAAATTTGCGCGGTCCTCTACTTCCCTCTGCGGATGCGGCGATCGGAACGCCGAACGCCGTTGTCGTCATCGTCCGAATAATCGCTCGCCGGTGACGTTAATGAGTTATTATTGAGGCGTACGATTTGATTGAGGAGATCGCGCAACTGTTGCAACAGTTCGGTTTTAGGGCAGACGATATTTAGTATCCGCA